GCGATATGACCCAGCCATCCCACTGCTGGGAATATACCCAGAGCAATGGAAAGCATCAAGTCGAAGGTATACCTCTTCCCCAATGTTCATTGCAGCACTCTTTACAATAGCCAAGAGTTGGAACCAGCCCAAATGTCCATCATCGGATGAGTGGATATGGAAATTGTGGTATATCTACATAATGGAATACTACTCAGCTATAAAAACGAATGAAGTACTGCCATTTGCAACAACATGGATGGACCTCGAGAGAATTATATTAAGTGAAATAAGTCAGGCACAGAAAGAGAAATATCACATGTTCTCACTTATTGGTGGGAGCTAAAAATAAATAAATAAATTCACATGCACACACAAAAAACACCGGGGGTGGGGGTGGGGAGAAGACTTAACAATACAACTCCTTGAAGTTGATACGACAAGCAAACAGAAAGGACATTGTTGGGTGGGAGCGGGGAGAGGGAGGAGGGAGGGGGGTTTTGGTAATGAGCCACAAAAATCAACCTCATTGTATATCGACAAAATAAAATTAAGAAGAAAAAAAAAAAAAAGAAATTTCCAGTGGAAGTTGTCATTCTTAACCTGCTTTGCCTTCAGGGGCAGATTTTTCAATTGAAATATAATTCGCATACCATAAGATTTATCCTTCTAAAGTGTACAATTCAGTGGTTCTTAGGATTTTCATAAAGTTGGGCAACTATCAACACTATTTAAGTCTAGAATATTTCATCACCCCAAAAGAAAGAAACCCTGTACCTAATTAGCAGTGGGACCAACATTTTTAAAATGTCAAATCTAGGCCAGGAAAAGATGGCATGAAATGCTCACTGAGAGATCTTCTTTTTTAATATATCATGGACAAAAAAGTGGGATCCTCATGGGCTAGACCCACATCTAGCCCTAACAAGTGTCTGATTTGATGATCTTCCAATCCATAGCATCTGCTTTTGAAATCCTTCAACACCAACACACAACCTTAACCTCATTTTCTCCCACGCAGGGCAGCCATGAGTGGTCTGGAACCAATAGGCAAAAATCAGGCTGAGAAAAAAGAAGAAAGAATTCCCTTCTCAGCACCTACCCCATTAAGAGAAAGTCACCAGACCTGTGTGGTGAGAGAAACCGGGTCACCTGCAGAGCTGAGGGGAGTCACTTGCTCTACCAGAGTCTGTCTGGTTTAGAACCTTGAAACCAGACATACCTCCAGGAAAGAGGGGAGAAAACAGGGGACCCAGAAGGCATCCGAGTGGTCCTGCCAGCTTCTCTTGTAGAATTAGGAGCTTTGACAAGAGCCCTTCAGTTTTGAGTCCCATGGGTGTGATGAAACTTGGGACTCTGGGGAACCTGATGAGGCTGGACTGAGTTCCCGCAATCTTGCCGAGTGGAGGAGTGACCCCTTGATGTCAGGTCAGCATTCTCATGGCCCAGGGAGCATGCAGGTCAGCTTTGACAGTAAAGCTGCTCCTCAGGACTGGGCCTGACAGATTATCCTGATTTTGGCACAGAAATGTTGGATAAATCCTAGACTTAATGATGCTGGAAGGATGAATTAGTAGCTAACATTTGTTGAGCACATGCTATGGGCTACTTTATGTGCATTTGTTTTCTCAAACTTCGCAGCAACTCTAAGGAAAGGTACTGTTTTCTCATCCACCCCTTTTGCTAATGAGGACGCAAAGGTAAACAAGGTTAAGAGCCTTCGCCAAAGCAGGCTGGGAATCAGACCAGGCACTTTGACTCCAGAACCCAAAATGTTCACTCTGGCTGCCTCAGAGCCCCTAACGATACAGAAGGGAAACTGAGGCTCAGGGAGGTATAATGGCTTTTCCTAGGTCGCACAGCCAGTTAGGGACACAATCGAAGCCTCCCGGCGGGCGGTTCAGAACGGCCTGGACTCTGGAGTGGAGTGCGGGCGTCTTGGTGGCCCTTTCTAAGCCGAACCTGCCACCGGCCTGGCCCACACACCGCGGGGTGGGCGGATGACTCAAAGGGCGGGGCCTGCCTCTTGCGCCCCGCCCCGTCCCGCTGCTCTGAGGCAGCGGAGCTCTCGGCCGAGCGGGTGGCAACTTGTCTGAGTGAAACCGGGAAAGCGCCGACCCTCAGCGCTGGGCGGGCGGCCGTGTCGGGAAGTCGCGGCGTCAGTCGGGCCAGGCTCGGCGGGGCCGAGAGACTAGCTGCGCGCGGGCCGCCGCTCACACCCTCATTGGCCGTTCCGGCCTCGGGGGCGGTACCCCGGGCGACTCTCTCCTGTGATTGGGCGGTATCGGCCACGGGCCCCGCCTCCAACGCCAGACTGCGAAGGCGGGACGCAGCGAGGCGGCCACAGATACCTGCGTGGTGCTGGCTCCAGGCATCGGTGGCGGCGGGCTCGGCTGGCCGGGCTCCCCGCGTCCCTTCCCACCCAGCTTGCGCCTCCTCCCCGCCAGCCCGTTTCCTTTTGTCCCCATCTCTGAACGCAGGGGGACGTTCCCCCTCCTCAGGTCCATCCCCTTGCCTCGGACCGTACTCCCCTCTGCTCGGATCTCAGCACCTGATGGGTGCTCAGTGCCGCTCACTGTGGCGTGTCCCCGCGGCGCTGTCCTCAGACCTTACGCCTGAGACTTCACTGGTTACCGCCCCAGATCTGAGCTTTACAGCTTCCCGCTCCGTGGAAGAGGAGATTCAGCGCCGCCTTTGCGCTCACCCGACCCTCCCTGCACCAGACCGGTTTGACTGGGGCCACCCTGGTGGAGAAAGCTGGACCCCGGCCTCTCTCCTGGAGTCACTGGCCACAAAGTCTCGCCTGTGGCTCACTGAGCCTGCAGGGGAGGGCAGGGCCCTAACTCAGAGGTCCAAAGTTAGGGTCTCTGTAGATCATACTCCAATCCCATTACCAACCCATCACCAATAACTGGAAAAGACAGGAGTGTCACGGGGGAGCTTTATTGAGAGGAAACATGGTCACACCCAGCAGACATGCTTCCCGTCTCATTCTCACGCTCGCTGTCGCACACAGTGTCACACAGTCTCACACACACACACGCGCACACACACCCATCTCCAGCCTCTGCCACACAGCTCAGTTCTCAGCCACAAGGTGGGACACTCCTCAATTCCTAAGATCCAGAGGCAGCAGGAGCAGGAGGAAGGCAAGGGAGGGGATGAAGTGACCTGGCTCATGGGTGGGGTCCGGAGGAAGGGGGTGCAGAGAGCAGGGGTAGATGGGGTGACCAATGGTTAGGAGCATGAAAAATGGGATCCCCCGGCCCCAAGTGGCCTTAGCTCTGCTGGTCTCCCTCCACAGAGCCTTTCTGAGCTGGGGCAGAGCACTGGGGAGAAGCACGGTTCCTCCCACCCCATACTAGTCCTCTCCGTGGGGGGTGGGGACTGGAGCGGCAGGGTGGGCAGGTGACAGGCACGGCTCAGCTCTGGGGCTCCTCGGGAGCCTCACCCCCCTCTTCCCCGGCGTTGTCGGCTGTCCACAGCGTCAGGTTGTCTCGCAGCAGCTGCATGATGAGGGTGCTGTCTTTGTAGGAGTCCTCGCTGAGGGTGTGCAGGTCAGCCATGGCCTCGTCGAATGTGGTCTTGGCCAGCGAGATGGCCTCCTCGGGGCTATTGGCAATCTCATAGTGGAAGACGGAAAAGTTCAGGGCCAGGCCCAGGCGGATGGGGTTGGTGGGCGGCATCTCCTTCTTGCTGATGTCCATGGCCTCCTGGTAGGCCGACCGGGCGGAGTCGATGATGCGCTTCTTGTCGTCACCAGTGGCCACCTCGGCCAGATAGCGGTAGTAGTCGCCCTTCATCTTCAGGTAGAAGACCCGGCTCTCGGCCTCACCGGCCTCCTTGATGAGGTGGGTGTCCAGCAGCCCCAGCACAGTGTCGCACACGCCCCGGAGCTCGGTCTCCACCTTCTCCCGGTACTCTCGCACCTCGGGGCCCTTCTCTTCCGAGCCCTCCTCATGGCTCTTCTGCTCGATACTGGACAGGACCCGCCAGGCAGCCCTCTGGCCACCCACCACGTTCTTGTAGGCCACCGAGAGCAGGTTTCGCTCTTCACAGGACAGCTCCTCACCCTTTTCTACCGCGCCCTTCATGAAAGCGGCCATGTCCTCATAGCGTTCGGCCTGCTCTGCCAGCTTAGCCTTCTGGATCAGACTGGCTCTCTCCATGGCTCTGGGGACAGACAGAAGGGCGGCGGGCTAACTGGCTGCCTCGGGACCCGTGTGGGACTCTGCGCCTCTCCTGCTCACCGCCTGCCTTTTGGCTGGGTGGCCTGGCCCGGGAAGGGTGGGGAGAGGCAGGGGGCGGGACTGGGGCCCAGGACCTACCTCCCTCTCCTCTTCTCCCCACACCTTTTCCGGCTCTTCCTTAAAGGTAAAAGGGCCAGGAGTGGGGGTGACTCATCAGGAGAGTCAGCAGGAGAAACCTGGGCGTGGGCCCCATATGCACAGGAACCTTTCAGGCCTCCAGGCTGCCCCCTCTTGTTCAGGGCTGCCATTTCATGGGTGCCCACATTAGGGAGCTGCCCTGCTTTCTCAAATAAGTTCCTCCTTCACAGTGTCCTTCCACCTGGCTGCTTCAGCCTCAGCAGAGCCCATAAAGCCAGGTGTAGGAGGATGTGGCTCCCAATCCTGCCAGGTATGTTTCCTGTCTTGGTTCAGGTGAGATAACTCATGTTTAGGTAGGGCTGCACAGTTTCCCAAGCACTGTAATATCCATGATCTAATTTAATCCTCACCATGTCAGATTGTCTCAGAGAGGGGTGAAATTTGCTCACAGTCACACAGCCACCAAGTCCCTAAAACTCTTCCCCCGCACCCTACTTCTTTTGGCTTTTCTCCCTTTGAGGTCTCTGACCTATGAGATCCAGGCTTCTTCCTGAATCTGCCTGAAGGCACTTCCATCTTCCAGTCCTTACTCCCCCTCGGGGTGCCCTATGAGCACTCAGAATGCACAGGTGGCAGCTTTCAGGGTACCACTTAATGAAGTGTTTAACAAGCGGCCTCTGACGCTCCAGCCCAGCCTTTGTAATTAGTCACCCAGTAGGTTTGGTTTGTTGGACACCTTCCCCCTCACAGCACAATTTTCCCTTTCAAGTTGGTGGCTTGTTGCCACTTGTTTGAGCACTACCCACTAGCTCTCCACACCAGGTCACCTGCCCCCTCCAAGCCGTCTACCATCATGTATCAGCGGGGCTCACGGAGGGTGAGGGCCCAGCTCCCTGGCTGTCCCATTTTCCTGCCTGACTCAGCCTGCCCTCTGTCAGAGGCTGGGAAGCAGGCCACCTGGGTGCTCAGTCCAGTTTGGTCCCCCAGGGGGGACGCTAGCAACCTGGGGAGAGAGACAGGGCTGAGGAAAAGGAGGTGGCAGTGACACATACCATTTAGATTTATGGGGCAGCAATCCCAGCTGAGCGATGCCTCCCCTAGCCTGTCTCTCAGAAGTTTCCCTGACCCCTTTGGCCATGGCCCCATCTCTGACTCCTGCCAGAGGCCTCAGAGATGGAGACCTCTTCATTGCCAACCTTCTGTCCCCGTTTGCTGGAACCCAGTCCTCAAGTTTCACCAAGACTTTCACCTAAGGGTGTTGGCACGGAGCCTATAAAGATGGGTTCCTGCTTATCTGCCTCGCCCCAAGCCAAAGACTAGATGGGGCTCAGGGCTGGGGCTCCACTCACTGGGATTCAGCCAGCCTAATCCTTTAGCCAGAACCATTTCACAGGCCTTTGTCTCCCCTGGTTCCTCTGAGTGTCTGAATAGTCACCTTGCCCTCCTGGATGAAGGCTTAGGCCAAAACTCTGAGGACCAAAGATGAGATCTGCCTCTTTGCCACAAGGAAGAGTAGGGACATGTCTGGGCTAATGCCACAGGTTCCAAGGAAGCAGAAGGGATTTTAAGCTTGACATCCCAAAGGCTTTGCTCAAATTGGAGCACTGACAGAAAACTATGGAAGGAACTACACTAAAATACCAATTTATAGAGGGTATCTTTAGATAGTGAGACTCAAGGTGACTTTTTTTTTCCATTTGATTTTCCTATTCTCTCCAAGTTACTAATGGTGAATATATATATTTTTCTTTTCTTTTTTAAAAGATGACCGGTAAGGGGATCTTAATCCTTGACTTGGTGTCAGCACCACACTCTCCCAAGTGAGCTAACCGGCCATCCCTCTATGGGATCTGCACCCGTGGCGTTGGTGTTACCAGCACCACACTCTCTTGAGTGAGCCACAGGTCAGCCTCAATTTTTCTATGAGAGATAGAATAGTATAGCCTAGTGTCTTTGGGATCAGACTACCTGAATTCAAGCTGTCAAGGGTTTGGATTCCTGTACTGGCCAGCTGCCAAAAAAAAAAAAATTCTTATAAGTGGTGTGGCCTTGGTCAAGTGGTTTAACCTCTGCAAGCCTCTGTTCCTCTAGGTGTAAAATGGGGCATGTTGTGAGGAGTAAATGAGTTAAAGGAAAGCACTTAGTAGAGTGGATGGTAACTATTATTATCATGTGAGAAAACCAAACATCTTTACTATTATAAACACATACACACAAAGCTCTAACATAGAGCTTGGTTCTATGAAATGAGGAAATGCCCAAACCAGGCCCTAGCCAAAGACCAGACCTTGCCCAGCTGGGTATCCACAGGGGAGAAAAGGGGGTAGAGTTTGCCCAGAGGCTTCCCTCTCCACCTAGGACATTCCTCTGGCCTCAGCAAGCCCTGGACCTTCAAGGACCTTCCTTTGCACTAGTCATCCAGCCTGAGCTTCCCCAAGTCCTGGGGAAAAGCTGGAGATCCCAGGACACTGGGAACTGGAAGGCAGAGCCTGGCAGGCTGAGCAATTCTGGAGCTTCTTCTGAATCCAGGGAAGGAACATTCTCTTCCCACCATTTAAGCCAGGGGACCTGGTGGTGGTTCACACCAGGGGCTCAATGCCCTCAGCACAGCCCTGAGCAAGAGCAAGGAAGCCCCTTCACTCCTCCTCCTCCTCCTCTTCTGGAGCTCAGGGTGAATCTGGGAGCCAGGCTGCCTGACACCTCCTGCCCGCTCTGGCCTGTTGTTCCTGACTCAGTTCCTGTCTCAGGTACCTCCCTTTGCCTCCAGGCTTCCATTTCCCAAGTCCAGGAGCCCATGTGGGCAGGAGGCAGCAGGCCCTGGCAGGGCATGGAGCTCCACAGTCAGCCACCTGAGTCAGCAGGACAGACGCTGGGGCTGCAGCCCAAAGGGGCTTTCCTCATCCCGCCTTCTACCTCCTCACCCTTCTGCAGAACATCCATCCTACCAGCAGGGTCAAGGCCTCCGGGCCCACAGTCAACCAGTCCTTCCTAGCTGGTAATAACAGGCTTTGAAGGGTTCTGACATAGAGAAGGCAGCTCTCTTCCTCCACTGAGAACAGAGGACAGGGCCCTGGCTACAGCAGGAGGGACTCTGGTTAGATTCCAGGAAGAACTTCCTAGGAAAATTTTCAGTCTTCGAATGATCAAACTAAATAGGTGACCAGAGGAGGCTCTAGCACCTTCTTCCCTGGTTAGTTATGAATAAGAGTCCAGTTATCTAGCCAAGAGCTCACTCTACTAATTGCCTTTGGGAAGGGCTATTAGTTTATTTCTAAGTGATTCAGTTGTTCTGAGTCTTTTTCTCCTCAAGGCACTACCATTTAGAGTATCCCACATCTCCTAAGCCAGCCCAGTCTAGGAGACAGTATGGAATTTATGGAAAGAGAATGGAATGAGGTCAGGGAGTAGGACTGCATCCCAGCTCTGTTACGAGGCCTTGGACAGGTTGCTTCATGTCTTCGGTCTGCAGTTTGCCCATCAGTATGAGGAAGCTGGCCCTCACCATCTCTAAGCCCCATACCAGCCATGATGTCCAATTTTAGGGTTTCTCTGAGATCCCATCCTCCTGCAGCTGTATTCCTTCCTCGGGTAGTGCAGATGGAACGGAGGCTGGGGTGGAGACCAGCCTCCAATCCTGGATTTGCTGCTTTACCAGCTGGGTCACCTTGGGCAGCTCCTGTACCTTCCCTGAGCCTCTCAGTCCCTCATCTGTAAAAGGGCTGACATCACCTTCCTCATAGCTTAAGATGAGAAAACGGACCTGGCACTGGGCAAGCCCTTGCTAAATGGTAGCGGTAATTATTTTTTAGCTCTTAGTACAGTGTGTATGCGTGTGTCTCAATGTGGGGCGGCAGCTGGGGAAAGAGGTTTCCATGAGATTGTTACCCTGGACTGGGCTCAGTTCAGGGGTGTGATAGTCCCAGACTGGATTTAAACCCTCTGTCTCCGCCTGGGCTGGGACCTTTAGAGTTCAGAGGTCAGCTAAGGCTTGGTGGTCTCTGGAATTGAGACCAGGAGTTCTAGAGGGGCAGAGTGAAAAGGACGCTGGCCACTCTTCCCATGTCCCTTCTGGCTTCGTTGTGCCTCTTGTAAGTCTCCAGAGCAGCACTGACCAGCTGGAACAAGCTGGACGTGAGGGTAAGCCAGATGTTCTGCACACCCACCACAGGCACCACTCCAGACCCCCAAGTAAAGGCGGCACCAGACAGCCAAGGGTATGGCAAGAAGAGGGGAATCTTTATTTTGGTTAAAAAAGGTACATGATAGCAGACAAGCACCCCCCTCCCTGGGCTCTGCTGATTTTCCGAGGCCTGACCCGGTCTCTTTTAGTTCCTCTGGAGAACATGGGGCTAGCTAGCTCAGCCCCTCAGTGCCTGGAGCCAAGGATACAAGCACCCTCCTCGAATCCTGCCTGCTGGGGGAGTGGGGGGTAGGGTGGAGGGGGCCCGTGAGAACAGTGTCAAGCCAGTTGTGCTTAGAACAGTCACCAAACTCGTTTAGCAGCGTCATCAACCATCAACACCCCAGACGGCTCCTGAAGAAACCTGCTTAGCTTGACTATGGCTCTACCTGATTGGGGGGGCGGGGGCAGGCTATAAGGCAAGATTCCTTAAGAATTTTGACACCTCACAAATGTGGGGAAGGGGCAGGAAGGCGGAGGAGGGGAGGGTTTAGCATAGTACTACATTGTGCTGACAGCTGCGTTATGGCTTTCTGCACTCTGGCCAGCATGGAGTGGGGTGGGGGCAAAGAGGCCAGCCCCTGCCCCCTCTGGGGGGCCCTAGAGAGCACACATGTAGGGCAGGCTGGGGGCAGACCCTGTAGGCACAGATGGTGGCAGACACGCCACAGGCTAGGCAGGTGGAGGTGCCGGGTGGCTGGCTCCCCCCAGGTCACTCCTGGAGAAGCAGAGAGCAGCGGTCCTCAGGAGGTCCTTAAGCCCCCGCACACACTGGAGATCCCCCGCAGGACAGCAAAGAAGGAGAAGAGAGAGGATTAGCGGGATTGGGAGGGGAGGGGAGAGGCGGCCTGCAGGGGCCCTGGCAGTGGGACAGGTGCTGCCACAGCAGCTGCCTCTCCCCCAGAGAAGGGCCAAGGCTCGGGCAGCAGGCGACAAAGCACGAGAGAAAACGGGCAGGTGAGAGGAAGCTCGGCAGGGACAGAGAACCAGGACGCAGGAGTGGTAGTGACTGAGGGCCCCTGCACACCAGGACACCACCAGAACAGGCCCAAGCACCTCAGAGCAGGTACCCCAGCCTCTCCCCAACCTCACCCTTCACCTCCTCTTCCAGGTGGAGAGCTGCTCTGCACGAAGCTACTTCCTCAGTCCAGAACGAGACCGGGCTCTTAGCCCTGCCCCACCTCCCGATCCTTCTGCTTAGCGGGGAGCCCTGGGGCCCCTACCACCGCCAGCACACACACCACACTGCACACCAACAGATGAATGGGCCCCATGGGGTCGGCGAGGCATGCGATGAGGATGAGATGGAGTGTGAGGGGCGGGCAGTGCTGGCTGACAGGGGAGATACAGTCTTACCAGCTAACCCTCTGCAAAGAGGCCTGGTAGCGCCCCTCAGGCTGTGCAGGAGATGGCAAAATCCTGACAGGTGTCCTCCTGGGGGAGATACCAGAGAGGTGGGCCAGGGTTATGAGTTATCTGGTTGGGTCCTGCTGCCAGGTGGGGGTGGTGGCCAGGGAGGCTCCAACTCTCAAACTGGAATCTACTGCCTCAAACATTTTCTTAGCTGAACAGTCACTGGGGATCAGAGTGGGAAGGCAGCAGGGAAGAACTTGGGGGTCTCCAAGCCCCCGAGGTAGGGGGAAGCGGAGGGGACAACGAAGGGACAGGATGGCCTCTTCTCACATTTCCAGGGGCTGCAGCCCTCTCTGCTCTGCTTCCAGCAGACAGAGCTCTGGCCAAGTGAGGAGACTTTAGCCAGATCACTGGGTTACCTGCCTTCTCTCTATCTCCCCAGAAAGAACCAAGTTGGACTGAAAGAACAGAGGGCTGCCAGCTGGACCTCAGCAAAGGTAAAGCAAACAAAAACCAAACCAAAGCAAATCAACTCTTAAAAACAGAAGTTTTATTACAAGCAGGAACAAAGAATACTGGCTTAAATAAAAGGCAGGTGGGAACCCCCTCCTCTAGCCAGCTTCCTCCCCACCTCCCAGGGCCACTGCAATGGCCCAGAGCCCTAAGGCTGGGGCAAAGCTGTTTCTCCCAGAGGGGACCCTTTGTGGCTGGCACTTCCTAGCTCTGTCTATGACCCACTAGCCTCTGGAGCGAGGAAGGGCAATATCCAGGGACTTCCTATGTTACTTTTCCAAGGGCCCTGGAAAGGTAAAGGGCCAAGAAGGGAGATCAAGGGACAATTCTCTATTTTGAAGAAACTACAGGTCCCAGCAGAGGAGAAACATCCTCTGAGTTTCTGGCCCCAATTTAGGCCAATCTTCACTCGCCTCTTGGTCCACCCTTTTCCTTCCTTCTTTCTCTGGATGGAGGCCCCCAATTAACAGAAACACCTTGTCCTCTAGTCCCTGGCACTGGGTCCCATACTCAGAGCTTGGAAGAGGGTGTGTTGCTTATAGGGGTGGCAGCCACTCCCCATAGCCATCACCCCACCCATCATGCCCAGCCTCAGCCTGTCTGGGCAGGTCCCAGCTGGAAGCCTAACCTGGGGGCTGGGTGGCAGGGGTGGGGTGGGGCGGCAGAGTCCCCCACTGCTGGTTGTCTGAAGTCCATGGAGGAAGGAAAGATAAGATGGAGGCTGAGCCCCAGTGGGAGCCCAGGGGTGTCTTGTGACCAATGCATATGCCCCCTGTCCCCACGGCTCAGGCTGTTCCTGATACCCAAGGGGGATGGGGGGAAGGAAGGAAGCAGCCCAGAGGATGTGGGAGCCAGCCACATTCGTACAAGGGCACGCATGAACACACGCACGCACACACACACGCACTCACTCACAGCAGAAGGTCTCTTGTAATAAATTTAATAAAACCAACTAGCCTTCTGATAACCCTTCACCTGGCACTACACAGATAGCAATGTGGCTGACTTCTTTCTTCTTCCATTTAAAAAAGGCTACGTAGAAAAGATGTCTATAAAAGTGTGCAAAATATCCAGCATTAATAAACCCATTTCAAGTATTGCCAGCATGAGCATAACCCACCCATCCCTAGACCCGACTTGGGAGACAGGTGGCGGGGGGCAGGCTGGGATCCCTTAGAGAGCCCTCCCTGGGCAGGGGGAGGGCAAGGCCTCCACTTCCTACTGTGCTGCCCAGGAGTCGTACAAGAGCTGAGGTTCTGGGTGCCTGGCTGGCTGGTTTAGCTTCCTTTGACAAGCTCCCCCCACCCACCCCCAACCTTGCCTTTTCTACTGGAAGCCCAGCTCTAACCTATTGGCCAATTCCATAAGAAAAGAAAAAAGAAAAAAAGAACAATGTTCATCACAAAGAGAATGAAGGAGCCCACAAACCAAAGCAGCCCACCGAGGCTTCCTCTCCCACAGCCACTGTCCAGAGTCAATGGCTCATTAGTCCCGCTTCATCCTGAGGGCCCCAGGCAGGTCCCCCAACTGGGAGGCCTCATGCTCAGTTCATGCCCTCACTCACACAGGGCTCACCCTGGCAAGGTCCCCTTAGTGGCCTGCAGAGGTTCTGGCCTCTCCTTTCACTCTTGCCACTCATCAGCTAAGGGGACCTAAGGCCCAAGGCTGTGGGACCTGGGTTTGGGAAGCAGAGGGTACAGCCAAGGAACAGTTCGGGGAAAGCCACGCAGGATGGGAAATAAATACGAAAAGACTGGAGTCTTTGGCAGCTCTGCTTCCCTCAGATGGAATGGGGCGGGTCCCGGCAGGCGTGGAGGGTGGCAGGTGAGTGCAGAGGGTGGACAGGCCAGCAGGTGGCAAGTAGTGAGCCCTGTTCAGGGGTGGCCTCCTACCATACTGGCATCAGGCTTGGCTCTGCAGGCTGGCTCATCACTTCTGACGGGCGAGGGCACCACGGTGTCAGACTGCACAAATCCTCTCCGGTCAATCAGGCTTCCAAAATACAAGGGGGTGACACATGAGGGCTCTGCCTAACACCAAAGCTCCAGGCCAGGGATCGGATAGCAGAATCCATCTCCTGGCCAAGGAAAGATCCAGTCCTAGAAAGGCTGAGGAAAGAGAGCTGCTCTCCATTTGGAAGCTCAAGACCTTTCCCATCTAGGCTGGCCAGATGGCTCAGTCAGTTAGAGTGTGGTGTTATAATACCAAGGTCAAGGGTTCGAGATTCCAGTACTGGCCAGCCGCCAAAAAAAATTAAATAATTAAATAAATAAAATAACTTTCCCTTCTAGAAGGATTCCTCTCTGCCCTCTGGGCACCTGGCTTTTGGCTATAGAATTTATTCACTCTTAATTCAAACAGGCCCCCATCTGTCTGGCTGCCAAGAAGCCAGGCTGCAGGTGAGGGGAATGCAAGGATGAACAGGCATTTGGAGATAGTGAGATTCCTATTGTCCCTTCCCCCCCAGGCAGGGTAGGTGACAAGAATACTGGGTGGGGTTGGGGAACAACTGTGTGGGGAAGACTTGTCCCAGCAGTGTCCACAGCAATTTAATTCCCATTCTGGAGCTCTGGCACCCTCTGGTGTCAGGATGGACAGGGAGTTTCCCAGTAGGACTGAGCCACTAGGGCTGCCTCCTGCCAGGGAATGGAGGCCCCACATAGTCCCCGCCAGCAAGTGTAGCCAGACATCCACTGTGGTACCCCTGGGGATCAGGCTTACATGTAATATCTAATCTTCTTCTTCCCTATATTTTGTACCTTTTCTACAATGAGTAAATGTGATTACAAATTATAGCTCTCCACAGAATTCCTTTACATGACACATGCCCCAAGCACATTCAGCAGGGGATGGCAGACACAGGCATTTGTGATGTGGGGAGAGGTCTGCTGATATTCAGAACCTCTTGGAAGGGTGTAGACTCACAGGGCCATCCCCACTAGCCGGGCCCAACGCCGAGACCTCTCTCCTGCACCCCCTGGCTTACCTGGGAGGTAGGGGGCCGCAGAGCACAGCACAGCAGTTGGTGATAATACTTTTATGGCTGTAGGGGTTGACAGAGGCCTCACCGCCCCTCTTGCTGGACCACGAGCCTTTGATCTGCAAGCAGGAAGGAGGCCTGGGTCAGGTACCTCCTTTTGCTTCACTTTTCTAGGAGGAAGGTCTAGAGGCTGGGGAAAGCCGGCCAATTCTGAAACCAACTCTGGTTAGACTATTGGAGGGGATGTGGTGGGCTGCTGGATGGGTGGTGGGGTGGGCCACAGAGATTAGGAGACCCCAACCAAGAGAGAAGACAGAGCAGAGCTGAAGAGAATTCTCCGGAGGAAACTCCATCCCTGGCCAGCCACCTAACAGGAAGGGTAGCATAAGGGCACAGGGCTCAGGGTGCTGGCAGTGAACTCCGGCCCTGTCACTCACTAGCTATAGGACTCTGGAGAGATCACCACTTCTCTGAGTCCCAGTCTTCATTTGAAAAATAGAGACAATACTAGTAATTCTCAGGTACCATAGTTGGAGCATTAAATGAAATCTTGACCCTCTTGAGCTCTGTGAAGTCATGGAGGCATGGAGGAGTTTAGCAGAAAAAACCTGCTTGACTTTAACCCAGAGTTTTCTATACTTTTTGGCCATAGCACTCCTTTTCGTTTCATCCCTGGTAATATCCTGAAGAATCAGCACCAGAGAAACCACTGTGAGAGATGCTGGCTCATGGCATTTCTGCTCTTACCAGTCACCCAGCACACGATACCCTGTCATGTGTAAGTCTTATTTCCTTAAGTGAGAGGCTAAGGTCACGGAGTGTATTTTCTGGTGGATGATGGGTCTGTGATCAGTACCAGGTTGCAGGCCCTGGAACAGATGCTCTTGTTGCTTTTTAATTGTTTTGAGGATGGGGAGGAGAGGTCAGGTCTGGCCCAGGGCTGGGCACACAGTGGGTGCTCAAACAATGCTTCTTGGTGGTGGTCTGCAAGACAGCAGGTAAGGAGGGTCAATGGAGCCCCACTGTCCTGTACTGGCTGCCCCCTCAATAAGGATGCTTCAGGGACACCCTAAGAACAGTCACAGCTCTACGGCCTGCAGGTAAAAAGAACATGGCCACAACTTCTGGGCACCAGCCCTGGCTCTGCCCCTTCCCAGCCATGTGACCCTGGGGCATGTCCTTCAGCTATTGAGTGGAGAAAAAGCACCCCTGTTCCTTCTGCCTCAGGGTTGGCCAAAGAGCCCAAAGAGATGATGGCAGCTGGAAGAACTCTTAAGGGGTCAGGTGCTGACCAGACATAATGAGTGTAGGATGTGAGTGCTGTCTTGGGCTGTGGAGAAAAGCAATTTGGGAGCCTTGGGGCTATGCATGGTGGGGCTGAAGCATGTGGGGCTCTCCCAGACCACACGTCGAGCACTGGCCGTCGTCTGGAGGGGAGGCCCATGTTTCCCCAGCAGTTGGCCCATCAGGACCACACTTGATGCCCCAGGCTCCCTCAGCCCGCCTCGTTCCAAGGATCCTGCCCAGGAACGAAGGATTGCTCCAGCCTTACTCACATCTTCGTTAGTTGTCAGGTTGGAGGCGACGAGGTAAGTGTGAAACCCTGAGAGGCCCAGGATGGACCAGATGGAGAAGAAGCAGATGACCAACTCCAGCACGGTGAGGGGCAGTCAAGGACCCACGCAGGGTGGAGGGTGGGGAGCCTCCCCGGGTCCTGGGAGCTTGCCTTCACTATCCTTCCATGGAACTATTTCCCCAGAGAGGTGATAAGTTCTGGAAACTTCTTTTGGCCCAGTCACCACTTCTCAGCAGGATCACTGCCTGGGCCCCAAGGAGGGGTCAGTAGCCCCCACAAGAGCAAGACAAGATCAGGGCAATGGATGGCAGACACGGTCCAGGGAGCTTGGTGCCATAAGGGACACACTCTCTTCTAGGCCCCTGAAGACAGGGATTGTCCCTCTCGAGAGTTCTCAGCCACCCCAGCCCCACAGTGCCCCATTTAGGATCAGCTCTAGCCTGGGTGTGAAGAGAAGCAGCTGTTGGAGTCCAGAGGACAAATGCAGGCTCTATAACGCTCCCTTCTGTTTATAAGGAAGCATAGGGACTTGCCCCAGTAAAGGGGCCTCAGTTCCCACCGGGGTATCCACTAGCTGACAAAGGATATCTTGCTGGTGTCTCCTTCAGAGTGGAGAGGAAGTTGCTTCCCTGAGAGCCTGGGGAGAAAGACAGGAGAGGACACAGTTCAGAGGGGCGGTGAGCACAGCCCCTTGACCTGGCTGAGCCTGCTGACCAGCCCCTCCCACTCCCCCATCTCACGCAGTGTCAGGTGGGTGACCACGCAGGCAAAGATGAAGGCTGTCAGGAATGACAGGGAGAGAATAAACGCGTAGAAGAAGCGGTAGTTCCGTCTCCCCACACAGTTGCCCACCCAAGGGCAATGATGGTCAAACCGTTCTGGAAAAGGGCAAGGGGAGACGCGTTAGTGTGGGTGTGGCCTGCAACCAGCACAAGTGCTCAGAGGCACACCCATGGCTGGGCTTTGCCAGTCCCTCCACTCTCTCCACATGAGCTGACCTCCAGGCCCCTGGACACAGCCTGCTTCTGATGCTTTGTGCACTGGTTCCCACTACCTGACACCTTCTTGTCTCTTTACCTGTCTCAGCTGCAAAGTCACTTACTTGTGAAAGTCCCCTCCAACCCCAAACTAAGTGAGGGTCCCCTGTTATCTGCCTCATCACTTCTCTCTTGCAGCACTTTGCCCATGTGTATCTACATCCTAATTTATAATTACTGGATTGGCCAATGACCCCTGCTTGATCGATCCTAAGCTCCAAGAGGAGCAGCCTATATCGGCCTGAATCCCCAGGGTCCAATGCTGCACCTGGTACAAAGACCTACAAAAAGTACTTGTTGCCTGACCTACTACCCCAGCCACATGCCAACAGCCAATGACTCCTGTCCCTTGCTCTAGGACTGGAGGCCCAGGAAGGGGCTGGGCTGCTATGTAACTCATGGGAGCTGGCATCAGAGGCCAGGTCAGAGGGCTGAACTCACAGCAGCACTGTGGCCCCGGGGGTGGGTCACACCCAGACTGGTGAGGAAAGTCTCTGTGGGAATGTGGGTCACAAGCCCATTGCAAGCCTCATGCCAAGGCCAGCACCCTTTGCAAGGGACGGGTGGGGCAGATTCTCAGGAATGAATGACACCCACCGAGTCACCCACTTCACTGCTTGCCGTCATGGGGTGTTCCTCGCTATTCTCTTGCTCAGGAGTGCTGAGCTAGCATGATGAGCTCACTGCCCTGGGAACTGTGCATAGTCACTGTGGCTCAGCTCACCTGAGTCCTCTCACACAGCGTTTCCCTTACGACACCCTCCCAGGGGACCACCTTTTCCCTATCAAAGCTGTATGGCCTCTGGAGAGCAGGGAGAGGGGACAAAATAACCACTGCAGTTGTGAGTCAGGAGCCTAGCTTCCAGTCCTGGCCATGTCCTCTCCACCTCACTGGTTTAAACTCCTCTGTTCCCAGATTCTTGTCCATCCCAAACCCTGGGAATAGATCAAAGTCTTTCATTATAGCTGGCCCTGGGACACTGGATAGTACATCATTCTCTTTCTGGCCTAAACAGATCTGAGTGTTATTGCTCCAGTCTCTGGTTCCTAGAAACTTGGACCTACTTAGGACCAGGCTACAGCCTAGGAGAAGGTTTTAAGGCCTCTCTGTGTCTGCTGCACACTTCAGAGCTAGGGGAAGGAATTGACCAATCCTGAGCTGAAGCCAAGACACCACTGGTCACACTCAGAACCCCTACCCCTGAACCCTCCTCAGTCAGGGCACATCTGGGTGAAACCAGACTTCCTGCCCACCCCCGGATATTTCAGACACTGCCCACCCCACCCTCTGGCGTGCCCCCTGTCCCCAGGATTCAGTCTCTCCTAGGAATCCCTGAATCCCACCCTGCTGCCTCCCACTCACCCACACAGTTGTCGCAGACACTGCAGTGTGAGGTCCGGGGTGGCCGAAACATCTTGCAGGTGAAGCAGTACTTCAGCTTCACCATCTGCCCATTGATCATCACCTCCCGGGTCCGCGGGGGTGGCCGGTACGTGGAACTGCCTGTGTTGTCTGTGAGTGGGAGGAGAGAAAGGTGGGGGATGGCCAAGGCAGCCGGGGCCAGAAGCCCCAGCAAGAGGGGAGCTACTGCTGCCTGGTCAGGAAGGGAGAAGCCTCAGGGAAACTTTCTCAGGAACAAATGTTGGGGAAAATGTCTGGCCTAAGGCAGGGACATATATTAAGAGCTGCTACCACATCCTGAGACTTCCTATGTGCCAGGCACTATGCTAAAACCTCATACCTGCTCACACACCAGCTGGCCTTACACAGCTCTGAGAAGGGCTTTCAGAGAAGGAGACCCCAGCAAGGCTTAGTGAGGTTTATCTGCATCTAATCAAGCCCAGACCTAAGTTCCAGTTCACAGGAGTTTTAGGAGATAGAGGAACAAAGTAAACAATCCTATGAGGAAACAATCAGATCTAGAACGTGGGACATTTACAAGGTCTCTGGCCTGATCTCTAACAAAAGTCAACATCACTTAGAAGAGATGGTTCTAAACTAAAAGAGATTTAGGAGACATGAACAAATACAATACATGATCCTTGAATGGATCTTGTTTTGGAAGATAAAGCAAAACACAGCAACAAAAGACATATGGAAGGTGATTAGGGAAATTTTTTTTTTTGGCGGCTGGCCTGTACGGGGATCTGAACCCATGATCTTGGTGTTATAATGTTGTGCTCTAATCAACTGAGCTAACCGGTCAGCCCTCAATTGGAGAAATTTGACTATAGATTAAAAATTAGGGAACTATTCACTTTCCTAGGTGAAATAATAGAATTGTGATTACATAAGAGACTGTCCTTAGATTTTGAAGATACATGTTGAAATATTTATGGGTACAGTATCTATAATGTCTATAATTTTAAAAATAAAAAAACTAAATCAGAAAAAAGAAAAAAGAAGGGCCGGCCCGGTGGCGCACTGGATAGTGCGCCGCTTGGGAAGCGCGGTGGCGCTCCCGTCCGAGGGTTCGGATCCCACAAACAGACTGGCTCCCGCTCACTGGCTGAGCGAGGCGCGGGGGCAACACCGAGGCTTGCAATCCCGTTGCCGGTCCCCGGTCCGGTACGGGGGCAACACTGAGGGTTGCGATCCGTTGCCAGACACGGAAAAAAGACAAAAAAAAAAGAAAAAAGAAGACAAAAAATATATATAATGTCTATAATTTACTATAAGACCATATCATAAAAAATTATAAGAATAAAAATATATATACATAAGACACACTATTAAGTATTGAATCTAGATGGTGAATGTATAATCATTCATTATACTATAATTCCTCTCACTTTTCTGTATGTTTGAAATTTTTCTTTAAAAATATTTTTTTGGACTTCTGGTCAAGATGGCGGAATAGACGGTCCCTAGCATCACTTTCTCCCACAAATCAACCGATTTAAACTATAAAAACATAACACCAAGTGCATACAGAACGGGGAGACGTCCAGCGGGGGAAGCAGAAGCTCCGCGGAGACCACATGCCCTGCAGGGCCACTGTCGCACGATCCAGCAGATAGGCTTCACCGCCGCCACCAGGCTCCATTCCCAGCCCAGCCCAGTGAGCACAGAGTGGGGAGACGTCTGGCAGGGGAGGCGGAGGCTCCGCAGAAACCACACACCCTGTGGGGCCGCTACTGCGTGATCCAGCAGGTAGGCTTCACCGCAGGCACCCAACTCCATTCCCAGCCCGGCCTAGTGCGCTCGGAGAAGGGAGACATCCGGCAGGGGAGGTGGGAACTCCATGGGGACCACATTGCTGCTGCGCGATCCAGCAGCCCAGGCGATCCAGCAGCCCAGCCCAATGCGTACGGAGCACAGAGATGTCCAGCAAGGGAGTTAGAAGCTCCGTAGAGTCCACACACCCTGGGGGGGCCGCCACCATGCGATCCAGCAATAGGTAGGCTTCACCGCCGCCACCCGGCTCCATCCCAAGCCCAGCCCACTGTCCACGGAGCAGGGAGACATCCAGCAAGGGAAGGGGAAGCTCCGCAGAGACCACACGCTCTGCGGTGCCTCCGCGCATCACAGCAGCCCAGAGTGCACAGAGCAGGGAGAAGTCCAGCATGGGACATGGAAGCTCAGCAGAGACCACACACCCTGCGGTACTGCCCCGTGATCCAGCAGCCCGGCAGAGTACAAGCTGACAAGAGAGGTGGCTCCCCGGACAGGCCCAAGACCCGAGGCAACCACACATGCCAGGCACTAGTGGCCAACTGAGCAGTCACTGAGGTAGCCATACCAAATTGGCAACCACAGTAACATCTTAGTCAGTCAATAGTGTCAAACCTGTGGACTGTGAAACCCCCTGCCACAATGAATAAACATCAAAGAAAAGATATCAGAAATAAGAAAATCAAATAAGTACACCACCAAAGGATAATAACTCTCAAGCTCTAGATCCTATAGAACAAGAAGCCCTTGAAATGACTGACAAGGAATTTTGAGTGATAATTCTAAGGAAACCGAATGAGATACAAGAAAACTCAGCTAGACATCATGATGAAATGAGGAAAACCCCCCCCCACCTGAAAGAAGAAATGTACAAGGAAATCAATGCCCTGAAAAAAAATGTAGCAGAACTTGCCAAACTGAAAGTTATTCAGCGAAATAAAAAACACAACAGAGAGTTTAACCAGCAGGCTTGTGGAAGTTGTAGAGAGAACCTCTGAACTTGAAGATGGGCTGTTTGAAATAACACAAGCAGACAAAAAA